GTACCAGCTAGACGAATCAGATGCACAGCCTTTGAAAGTAGTGTGATAAGTTCTAAAACCAGAAGTGTGCCATTGACGTGTGAGTTCAGAGGTGATAATCAATCTTAGAATAGATGTTTCATTTATTTTTCTCGCCTAAGGTAATTTTGTATCAAATCTTTACAGATTTGATTTCAGTAATTGATGTCTCAGTGCTACAGTTTTGATTGTTTAAATCTGATGTCTTGGACATAGAGATAAATGGTGAGTGTAAGAAAGAATGGGTGCATTCATGGAGGGGTGAGGAAGTGCTTCAGGTGTTTCCCCATTTTCTTTAATCTCCTCTTGGGATTGTTTCCAGAATGTTGCTTTTTGTGTTCTGTGTTCTCATTTATTCATCTGATGTTTTATCTATTCAGAGATTCCATTGAAAGGAAAAGAAGGAAGCTAGAAGAAATCTGTTAAATGGGATTGAATAAGCTCTTATTGATGCTCAGATATTATTTGATATGTTTAATAGCTTAAAGATAGTTATTATATTGATATAGTTCAATATATCAATATACATTTGATTCTTAAGAAATAATAAATATTTTTGCCCTCTGGATATCTTAAAATACATAAGCATACATAATGTTGCAAAAGACAAAATAACTGTATAGTAATAATAAAGCTAATATTTATTGTGTTTTTAGCATCAATTAAGAGTATTTCATTGGGGCAGAAAAAGTATCGAAATACCACCTCACCAACTTTACACAAATCGGTTTCAAAAAATATGCTGCAGTTATTTTAACTGAAAAAACTTTCTTTACACCAAATGTGTTTGACAATTTTATTTAAATTTAATAATGTGGTCAATGAACCACTATAAGTCTTTAATTTCTATAAAAGAAACCATATTCAGCAGCAAAATCAAGTTTTCACTCTGTTTTTAAACATATGCCAACCTACAGATAATTGCAGAAAATGTTAAACCTGCTTTATTTTAAGCCAGCCCCTGAATTTACCTTGGCCTTTTCTGGTTTGTCAGTGCTAGGTTTTTCTCAGCTGCTATATTTATCTTGCTGTTCTGTAGATCAGCTGTTTCTTAAAATGGAGTAATGGAAGGAGAACATAATTACTTTACTTTTATGTAAATGTTTTATTGAAGCATACCATGCAGACAGATAAGTGTCCATCTGATATTTGTGTAGTTTTATGAATTTTTGAAAAGGGAACGCATCCTTAAAATGGCATACAGATTTTTAGAAAAAGCATTTCAGAACTCTGCATTGCCCGCTTTGAGGCAAACATTCAGAGGAACCCACTATCCTGACTTTGTTACCATCAGCTGATTTTATCTGTTTCTGAACTTTATGTAAATGAAGTCCTTCAGTGTGTACTCCATTTTTTTAAGCTAAACATTGTGTTTGTGATATTCATACATTTTGTGGTGTGTGACAGTAGTCAGTTTATCCTCGTTGCTGTGTGGTATTCCACTGAGTGATTTCATCATGATTTCCTTATTGATTCTCCTCCTGGACATTTGGGTTTTCAGTTTGGGCTATTTTGGGTGGTACCACTCTAAACACTTTTGTATCTGTGATTTTTGGTTTGCCTAAGGACAGAAATCCTTGGAGTGTGTGTCTATGGGTCTAACTGCTGGATCATAGACTTCGCATACATTCAGCCTTTTAAAGTAGTCTTAACAGCTTCCCAAAGTGGTTACCCCTATTCTGCCAGGAGTATGTGGACATTCAGGCTATTTCACATCCTTACCAGGACTGGAAATTGTCAATGCTTATAATTTTATATTGTAGTTTTAATTTGCGTCTCTGTGATGTGTGATGAGGTTGAGCAATATTTTGTGTTTGGGTATTTGGATATCCCCTTTGGTGCATTACCAGCTCAAAGCCTTGAATCCACTTTAGTTGTCTTTTCCTCCTTGATTTGTGACAGTTCTTGCTGGTTTCTTCTCTCACATTGTGGCTTGTCCTTTGATTCTCTAAGTGGTGTTGTTTGATGAAAAGAAGCTCTTAATTTTAATGCACCCCAATTTTTTGATTTTTATTACTATGGTAAGCCTTTTGTGTGATGACGAGAAACATCCTTATGTTTGATACCTTTAGATTCAGATCTACAAATCACCTGGGGCTGAATATGAGTGTGGTATGAGATACAGGTTGTTTGATTTGTTTAAATGATATCCATTTTGCCAAAGGTTGTTTACTAAGAAGGCATTTTTCTCCCATTGCACTGTAATGCCACCTTTGTCAAACAGAAGTGACCAGATATGTTTGCTTCTGTTCTAGAACTATTCTTTAATGTTGGTCTTTATGTCTATTCTTTCCCCTAGATCATCTTAATTAGATTTTTGGTAGCTTAATATCTGATAGAGGTTGTCCACCAACTTTTTTTTTTACCTTGCCTACCAGAGGCCCTTTGTATTTTCATAGAAATTTTGAAATAGTAGTACCAATTTTCATAAAAGTACATGGATTTTGATTAGGGAATGCATCTAATATATAGATGAATTTAGAGAAGAATTGAAGCTTTTAGCACATTGAATCTTCCAATCAGTGAATAATAGCTTGTCTTTCCATTGATTTAGGCCTTTTCTAACTTCTCTCAATAATGTTTGATAGTTTCCTTAGGAAAGATCCTGTACGTCTTTCAAAAGATTTGTTCCTCCATATCTGCAGGTTTTTCACTGTAAATTTTTGTATGTCGATTTTTCCTAGTGAATATATTGTCACTTACTGCTCTAAAGTATATAGTTTCTTTTGGATTCTCTGAATATACAATTGTATTTTCTATACTAATTACAGTTTTATTTATTCTTTTAAAATTCTTTGTTTTGTCATTTTACTGGATAATATCTTCAGTATAGTGTTGAATAGAAATGGTGTTAGCTGCCATCAGTCTCAGGGATAAAGATTTCATGGTTTTACCTTTATGCAAGAAGCTTAATGCAGATTTTTTTTAATAGAAAATTTTTTCATTGTATTAAGGAAGTCTCATTCTTTTCCTAGTTTTCTGAGTTTTAATCACAAATGATATTTTCTGTGTCTTTTAAGATGATTTTTCCTTTATTATATTACTGTAATAAATAACAAATTGCTTTTCAGATTTTAAACAAACTTTGTATTCCTGGAATAAACAAAATGCAATTTGCTAATATTGTGCTTAGGATGTTTACATTTATGATTGAGGGGGAATTTGGTTTGTAATAATTCCTTTCTGGTAATGTCTTTGTCAGGTTTTGCTAATAAAAGTACTACTGGCCTTTTAAAATTATTTAGTAAATACCCTATTTGATGGGAAAATTTGTATAGGATTTTTTTTTAATGTTAGGAAAAATTCCCTTATGAAGTTATGTAAGCTTGGAGATCTCTTTGTGGGAAATTTTGAATTACAGATTCAGTTTTTTGTAGATGTAGAATCTCTCTTAAATTCAGTTTTTGAAAATTGCATTTTTTTGAGAATTAAAAAATGTTAACAGTTCTATTGAAGTATAATTGACATAAACTGCACATATTGAATATGTACAAATTGATAAATTTTGACATATTCATCCATGAAACCACTACCACAATTAAGATAATGGGCATATTTGTCATCCCCAAAGAATCTCCTCATGCCTTACTGACATCTACCTTGGTAAAGTCTTCCAATCTATAAAACATTGTATACCCCACTCCCATTTACTTAAATATTCTTTAATTTTTAAAATGTTTTGTAGTCTTCAGTGTACAGCAGGGTTTGTTAACCTCAGCACTAATGATATGCTGGATTGGATCATCTTCTCTTGGGGGAGAGGGGAGGGGGTTGGCTTGGGGAGGGCAGTCCTGCACACTGTAGGATGTTTGACAGCATATAGGTGTCTACCCACCAGGTGTCAGTAGGATCCCATACCTCTGGTCCTAACAATTAAAAATATTCTCTAAATACTGCTAAATGTCCCTTGGGGGACAAATCTCCCAAGGCTAAGAGCTGGAGAAACAGTGGTATAGAGAGTCTGCCTCACACATCTTTCATTTGGATTTATTTGTTCTGAAGTATTGCTCATGCTATTATATCTTTCTAAAATTTCATTTTCTATTTGGTGCTGGCATCTAGCGATGAAATTTATTTCTATGGATTGTGATCTAACAATTTTGCTAAATATATCTGTTAATGCTAATAATTTTTATAGATTTAGGGGAAAAACATCATCTAGCACTTAAAAAATATGATATAAAAATGGCCAATAAACACACACAAAGATCCTCAGCTTCATTAGTCATGAAGTAAACACATGAAACCATGATGAAATACCACTACACACCCAGGAAGATGGCATCATAAGCAAACAAACATGAAAATTAAAAATACATGTATATAGACAATAGCAAATGTTGGTGAGGAAGTGAAGTGCATAGAACTCTTGCTTTGATGAGAGTGTACGTCTGCATTTAACAAAATAGTCTGACAGTGTTTATTGTTGACCCAGCATTTAAAGTTGACCCAGCATTTAAATTCCCATTTTTATACCCCGTGGAATCATATATGTTTACCAAAAAACATGAACAAAAATGTTTTTGGCCATATTGTTTCAAGAGCTAGAAAGATTCAGAACCTAGAGAACTCCTGAGATACCCATGAACAGCAGAATGGATAAATGGCTGTGTAGCATTCCAGCGTTTGAATTTACCACGATGAGAATGGATGAGCTATCTCTACTTAAAACAGTATAGATGAATCTCACAAGCATGCTGAGCATACATGCCCGATACAAAAGTATATGTACTGTGTCATCAATCTCCATAAAGGTCAGAACAAATGTAGCTAATCTGCGATGTTGTATTATCCATGCGGATTAGTACCTGGAAGGTAGCACTTCTGAGCACTATTACTATTCTGTTTCTTAAACTGGGTGCTGATAACATGAAAGTGTTCAGTTTGAGAAAATGGATCAAGCTATATGCTTGTCATTTATTCAATTTCTCTGTATGTTACACTTCAATAAAAAGTTGTAAAAAATTTTTTAAAACACTTACTTTTCTTTCCATAATTTGGCTCTGTAATAGCCAGTCTGTTTGATCACACGTGTGATGAGAATTCTCTTGCTCTGTCATCTCACCGCCACTCCCTGGTCACCTCCACTCCCACCACCCACTACCCCTCGCTGCAGTGTCATGAGGTCGGCAGGTGTGTCTTAAGAGCTGAGTCATGGCTTTTGATCTGGGCAGAGTGTGTTATTTGTCCCCTTCTTGTTATACCTTGTTTCATTGGTAACTCAGTAACATCCGCTAGGAAAATGTAATTAGCATTAGTTTCAGATTAAAAAATTGGGTCCACATGGGTCCACAATTGGAATGTCTTGACTCGAGAGAGTTGTTCATAATTAACTTGTAGAGGGATGCCTGTGAGCTTCTGAATATATATTCAAAGACCCAAAAAGTAGACTCTCCCTCTTTATCTTATTAAGGACATATACCTCTGTTATCTTTTTAAATAGTATTGATTCCAACCAATATAAATTCTCCTTGAATTTTTGATTAAATATCTTATTTTTGGTTGAATACCTTGATTTAAATATCGAATTTAGAATTTTCATTTAAATAGCTATAGATGTATTGGTGAAAATTTTAATAACATTTTTTCTTTTTTTTATTGAAACATGAGAGGTTTATGCATCAAATTATTGCCTTTAAACATATAATGAAATGTATAGGTTTTCAATTTACCTGACCATGTGATACTTTTGATTCTATTTTTTAATTGAATATTTAGGAAGTTTTGTTTGGTTGATTGTTTTTAGAAAAAAAATTATCAAGCCTTTATTTTATAAAATGTTTATAAAAATTTATGGTAAAATAAATGTATTTACAAAAGTCTTATGCATATCATTGCCTTATTTTCTCTAATATTGTTCTAAAATGTTCTTTTTTCATTTTTCCAGATTTATTGTTTCATTTAGATTTTCTATTTTGTTTCCTATATTTTAGCCCACGAGAGCATTTTTGTCATCTAATTTTAGAATCAATTTTAAAATCAATGTAGATATCATGGTTTTTCTTGATTCCTAAATTAACTAAATTCCATCTAATTTTGTAAACTGATGTTTGGATTTATTTTATTGCCATAATTTCTCTATTCCTTTTTGGGAAATTGATTTTTTTTTAAATTTCTAATTTCTAATGGCATTCACATTCGCTCCTTTTTTTTTTTGTCCTTGTATGCAAATTAGGTGAATATTCTTTCCATTTAATTTTTTGATACGATTTTATGCCATATGCCTCAAACTGGCTTTCAAAATATACATGATTTTCTGTCAAAATTTAGCTTGGCTCCCCTGCCCTAATTGTGCGTAATATTTATCTAACTGCATTTGGCTCCTGCTTACGAGGTAAGAGCCATATCATGGACTATCTGAACTCCCGAATGACTGATTGTTCACTTGTCACTATGTGGTTATTATTTAATTAGATGGAAACATTCTTCAGTTATTACGATAATGAATTGTGTCACTGGTAACTGATTTTTAAACAGCTTGAAATTTTAAAAGCCATTCCTCCTTTTTATCATTTGAATAAAATGTGGTGGTTGACTTGATTGTTTGCATGTAGGTCATATGTGTCCCGTGGGTGAGAGCATATGGTGTGATTAGATCACTCTGTGTTTGGGTCGGGATGGGGAGGGTCTGTGGTTATCCCTTGCAGAAGCTGTACTGCATTTTTATGGTATTGCTTCCCTAAAAATTCCTCTCCAGGCTCCCATAGTCTCACAGTTTTGGTCTAGTCACTTGTATATTGTTCAGCAATACAGAACCTCTGTCAAAAAGATTAAAATTCTATCCATCCCTGTAGTTGCTGGAAAAACAGTGGTACAGTCATAAAATACGCAGTCTTTGTTTTCTTACATTTTCACACTGTATGAAGTTAATTAGTTTCACATACTCCTGCAGTTTCTTGTTTATGGACATTAGAGTATTCTTTAGGCATTATTATTTGCTTGCTAAGATGAGACACAGAATTTAAGGGAAATTAGATCATGTTGCTTTGGAAAAATTTGAGAACTGTCATTGCCTCTACGGTTGCTATAATATTTCTGAAATTCTCATTTTCCTTCTTAAAGTGTATTTGTTCATAGTGGTTAATCATAAGGTATGGTTTGGGCTCTTTGTTTTCCATTTCATATGCTTATTGCAAGATGTTCGCTTTAGTAATTCACCCTTTATTAATGAGAGAAAGAGAATGTGGATGATAAGTTAGTGATTTCTTTCATTTCAAGAAGAGTTGTGTATTACTAGTTTTAAAGTTTAAATCATTGTTGCTCCTGGTATTTACACTGACACACCTAAGCAAGCTTGACGTTAAGATTATTTGCTTGTGGAAAAATTTTAGATTATTGGGCAAAGAGCCAGTCATTGAATGTACTTTCATATTTCAGAATGCTTTCCTTTTTCACCTGTCGATTGCAATGCCAGGTGACAAATGAGTTTTCCTGTGACTTCTCCACAACAAATGCTCATCTGATGTGTTTTCTAAGCTAGTTTTCCTAGGAGGCATCTGAGCTCCCCAAACAACTACAGATTTTTTGGTTCAGAGCATCAAGAAATGCTTCAGGGGTCTAAGAAATTCCTATAATTGTGTGCATTATTTTACATTTGAATGTGTTTGTGTGGGTGTGCACCTGCATGCTTTTGTCTGTTTATTTATTTCCAGGCTGTGTTAGTCAAGGTAGAGGCTATGTTACTGTATCGGAGAGTTCCAGAAAAGGGCAGTGTAAACAGAATGGCAGATTTTCGCTCTCACACAAGTAGAGAGTTGGCCCATGGGGTTTGTCCAGTTCTGCCCGGGAGAGTGGCTTGTTCCCAGTGGTCTAAGCCAGCACATCCGTGTTCTAGCTCAAGGATTGTGGAGGGCAAGCTTACAGAAGTGACATACAAGATACACATGTTGTCTTTGATCATGTTCCCTTGTTGAGAATTTAGTCCCCTGGCTATTTCTAACTGCAGGAGTCCAGGAGATGTCATCTCTAATGCTGCTCAGACTCAGAGGAGGTGTTTATAACTTTGCAGTGATGTAAGGACAGAATGGATGCTGGGAGATGAGCAGCCTGCCACGGAGTTTTGATCCATAATTTCATCCATAGGTTTCATCAAATACGGAAAAGGCATTGTGAACACAAAATGTTTAAAACCATCAATGTAAAGTTCTAAGAAGCAATGACCCTGTTTTAAAATGCATATTTTGTAAAGCCCTCTTACAGTCTTAAAAATCATAGAAAAGATAACTTTCCTACACATGTATTTTTAAGTCTATAAATTATATATTGTAATTATAATGTACAGGAGGAATAGACAGAAATTATTATCACTAATAAATCATTACATGTTCCAATATGTAAATGGTCAGGCATGAGCATCTGGGAAGGTGTGCTGGGGAGCAGAATAATGCTTACGTTTAGAATGACTGTGATTGCCATGGCTGCAGTTGGAGACTGATACTCAGTAGGCTGTCAGTGGAAGTTTGGAGTTAACTTCAGTGATACAATTTTCCATGAACAACTTTCATGAAAGTCCTGAACACAGAAAGTTGCAGGATTCTCTCTAGGTACATGTTAGGTGCTTTCCTAGAAAGGAAACTCAATAGATATCAAAACCCATGCCAAAAAAAAAAAAATGGTGCTGTAGTCTAGCCGTGGACCATCATAGAGGGTACCTTCCTTGCACACATGTCCTTTGAGTCATTTGTAAGGCCTGTGGGGTGCAGGGCGCTTCTGCTTGTGTGACTCTGTGCCCATTGCTGAGCCTCTGAATCTTTCTACTCTGCCTTCTAAAGGCCAGGAATGTCCTCAGAAATGTGAACACCCCCCCACCCAACGTACACACTTCAAGTGGCGTATCTTATTTTCAGAAAGCTTTTCCCCTAGACATCATCCTTGTCTCTCACTCACTCAGTTCTTCAGTGGTAGCACTCTGCACACACACACATACACACACACACGCACTCTCTCTCTCTCTCTCTCTCTTGTCCTTTGTATCTCATCAGTGTCGGTTCACATGGTTTAAGACAGCCACCTTTAAGGATTCAGACTGCCTTCAGAGCAGGTGACCACTAGCTCGAGGAACCACGCCACTCATTAAGCTTGTCAGCACCTACTTCCTTCTTTTGTTTTACCCTGTTTTCACTAACAGGCACTTCTTTGGACTTGATCTTAGAGATCACTGTCATTTTTTCCCACTTCTCTTTCCCTATGTCATAGAACATTGGGTCTGGAAGAAACATTAGAGATCTTGTATTTTAATCACTTCATTTTACAGACCTTGTAAATGAGTTTCATATGGTTACAGTAACTTGCCTAAGGACATATGGTTAGTTCTAACTCTAAAACAAGCCAATTATTGCTCCCATATTTCCTTTGAGAAGCAAGCATCCTTTTTATTCTGTCCAAGTTTTCCCTAAGTCAGCTTTAGACCACAGTTCATTTCCTGAGTTGGTGATATTCTCTAGAACCATGGTGTCTCTCCGCCACCCCTCCCTCCAGCCTCTGCCATCCTCCTCATCCTGGTCCTTCTTTCTGTGTGGCTCATGATGAACTTATACCAGAAGAACCCATGTCCGCTCTGCTCTATTTCTCTTTGCTTAAATTTGCTTATTTATGTTGAATTCATTTCTTGGTAGGAACCTTTTCAAGCCCCTTTCCCATTTTGTGGTGACTAGTTTAGTTGAAATTGGTAAAGTCACCTGGAATCAAGTTGCGTGCACAGCTTGAAGTACAGTGAGCTTGAGTGAGGGTGAAGGGCTCTTCCAGTTGGCAGGAGGCCCCTCTCTCCCTTCCCTCAGCACACCCCGAGCAGTCGGTGACTCAGGACGATGGACACGAAGGTCAAATGAGGTCTCAGTGTTTTACTTTATTTCATGTTACTCCTGCTTCCCAATGAAGCAGTTCACGGTGTCTATCCTCTGGGACTGAATACAAACACGGGAAGTCACACAGACTTCATTTTTTTTTTTAAGACAGTAATTGGTTTACATGTACAGACAGCATTTGAATAATGTTTCAATGGCAGTTTTGTAAGAATGACAAGGACGTGGTTCACAAAGGCCATTTTTTTTATTCTGGCCTTTGACGACAGGTGGATAGTTCGTTGAACTGGAATTTTAAAGATGTGTCAATTAAGAGATGGAGTAATAAAGGAGAGCCTGGCTCTGTAATTCTCTGGTGCTCTGACGTGCTGGACTTCAGCTACTGTAAGGCACCCTTTGCTATAGTGAGTGCAGTCGGCACAGGGTCACCCCCACAGAGTAT